TGAGATAATTATAATTAAGTAATTCATTGAGTCTAGAAGAAACGTCAACAGAATGCAGAAAGCACTGGACTGCTGTTTCATTCTATATTTGGGACTCATCAGTAGTGCACATCCACTACCAAGAATTGAAACCCGGACAGTTACGTTATCAAACATTATCAAGTATTATGATTACTTGCATTATTTACATTATTCAAACTATTATCCTCATCTCCATTGCTATATTATATTTATTACAATAGTGAATACATAATAGAACTTTATTGATGAGAAATACACCTCACTGAAAGACCCATGGGATTCATGGTTGAGCAGATGAAAGGTTGTAGAAATAAAGTTCATAGTGTTCTCAAAGGGTATTCTTGTGATATGAAATCTACAAAGAATGGAAATGTTTGTCAGAATGGCAAGGAGTCATGTGGCTTACAAAATGCCTTCTTGGAATGTCTCTCCTGGGTTGTCTGGTGTCAAACTGTTTACACCTGATGATGGGCTCCTAGACAGAGATTTGGATTTTAGTGGAAAGATGTTTCATTGGTCAGTGTTAACCAATGAGAAAATTGTATTTAATTCAGTAGTTTTTAGTGTCTGTTCTATATGTCGAAGTCATGCAGATTGAAAGGTGAATAAGGAGGTACAGAGTAGGAGTATTTGATGACATCATATATTCTGTCTTACAATAGTCCTTTCTTCTCTCTTTCTCTTACCATCTTGTCTAAAAGTTCTTGCAGTTTCCTTTCTCTGTTAATAGTGCCTATAAAATAAAAAAAAATTAGAAAACAAACCAAGACAGTGATGCAATAATAACAGCCAGCAATCATTGTCTATATTTCTGAGATGAGGTATTATGATTACTTGCATTATTTACATTATTCAAACTATTATCCTCATCTTCATTGCCATATTCACAACATTTCAGCCTCTATATCTCTGAGATGAGGTATTATGATTACTTGCATTATTTACATTATTTAGACTGTCATCCTCATCTTCATTGCCATATTGACAATGTTTTGGCAGTTGTACATTCCAGCCTTCTTCAAGTGATTGAAATTTTGAATCAAACCCTTTATTTCACGCACCGGGGTAGATTGTTCTAGTCCCAAGGACACATGACCCAGTGGATAAAGATGTTGGTTAGATCCAGTGACTAGACCCAAAGAGTTGTGAGTTCAATACCAGGCCACAGCAGTGGTGAACCAAAGATTTAAAGGGAAATAACTGTGACACCCAGAAGAGGCATGGCATGTAGAACTAGAACAATCTAACTGGACAAAATAAAGGGTTCAGTTCAAAATTCCAATCACCTGAAGAAAGCCAGAGCGTATAATGGCTGAAACATGAATATGGCAATGAAGATGAGGATAACAGTCGGAATAATGTAAATAATACAAGTAACCAGGAACATGTGGAGAGGCACCAATCTGTAACAATTACTCTGAGTTTCACATTAACTAAAATAAATTTTCTTGTTAATTTTAATCCCTCAAAATTAAAACTGCTCTATTTTAATTGTTATAAAGAACTTTTTCTGCCTTCCATCAGAATGGCTGATGCTAACCTCTAGGAGAGTGACTCTTTGCAATTTCTTAGGCTAACATTTTCTGCTGACATAAAGTGGAAAGATTATTTTGAATCAATTCCTAGGTCTGCTGCTAGAAATTTTGGTTCACCGTGTCGTGCAAGACATTTTTTTTCACCAGAATCTACCTTATATATTTATAAGTCTACCATTCATCTCTACATTGAATATTAATCCTACATCTGGTTTGATGCTTCTGTTATATATCTAGAGATTCTTGATAAAATCCATAGAAAAATCTGCAATGTTATCAGTCCTGGCCTTGCATCTTGGCTTCAGTCACTTTCCCACTGTCATAACATAGCTTCCCTGTGCCTTTTCTATAAATATTTTCATTGGAACCTCGACTTTACAAATTTATGCATAGTACTAAATTGTCAACTAGGTCTCATCTTTTTACAGTTGAAATGGCTGGGAATTAACCATAAGTTATTACTATCTTGGCATATAAGCTGAATAAATTTGGTGAAATCATGCAGAATGCTCACTTTGGAAATATGACCTTCTCTCTCCTATCGACCATACTTTATTTTTATTTTTTCATGATACTGCACCTTTTACTTGATACTCAGATGTACAGACACTTATATTCATCTAAGCCAGAAATCAAAGAAAAAACAGGATAATATTGTGCAAGATGGTTTAATATCAATTTAAAGTTTCCAGATTTATTTATCTCTGTTCTTATCTCATATCTTTTTAAAGTGCTTATGTACATTGTAAGTAAATGTGGCACTTATGGAATCCTCTTCCCACTCCAACTCTTTCAGATATTTAATTTACTTTAAGTCAGACTTGTAATCACTTCTTAAGGCAACAAGAAAGAAAGAAAAAAAAAAGAAAGCAGACTCCCTCTTGATGAAAGATTTGGTTAAAAATTGAAAGACTTGCTGTAAACTTTTCGATACATCAACATTCTTTTTGTCTGAGAATTTTTCCCTCTATTTTCTTGCCATCTCCCCTGAAAGATCAAAGTTGCATGAGTATGCTACAGACAAAAACACTTCTAGTATGTTGCCAATCATGAAGATATGATTTCAATTCGGTTTTATAAAGCAGGTACGTCAGAGTATATAAATTAGGTTTACTTGGATTAGTGTCTTCTTGGTTGTTACAGTCATGTAAATACAGTAATGCCTTGAGATACAAGTATACTGACAAATTTTTTTGAGATATGAACTGAAGTTCGGCCATTTTTTTGACTGAAGATATGTGCTGGATTTTGAGATATGAGCAATTTAAGTTAAACATCTGCTAGTTTGGGCAAGCTTTGCAAGTATTTCTACTTAAACATGTTCACCTCACTCTGCAAGGATCTCTGTTGTGTCTTTTTTGCCATTATTTTGCAAAATTCCTTTAGTGACATCATGGGCGAAGAAGTATAAAGAGCACTGGTGAAAAGCTGAAACATATGATTTCATTTGAGGTAAAGTGGGAAATTATAAAAAAAAAAACATGAGCAAGATGTACGAGCAATGCATTTGGCAAGAAAGTATGAGCATTAACTCGATTAAAAAATAAAAACAAAAAAAGAGCTCAATGTAGTAAACAGAGCAAGTAATGACTAATTAATCTCTCCCTCACTTGCCTCTCCCTCTGATGAGAAATAAAAAATTTTAACATTTTAAAAAATTTTAACATTTTAAAAACTTTAAAAAAGGTACAGGATAATGGATAAAATATAAATGTTTTTAAAAATTTTTAAATTAAGTGATAAAGTTAATCTTTGGTATCATAGCCTAGTCCAGCCATTGCTAGGCTAGATTAGTGGTTGCTAGGCAAACTGTTGTCCCTCTTTCTTTCTCCTCCACCAGTTGGCCTATGACTCATCTGAACTTCATGGTTTAGTGCAGTTTATTTCTTTACAATTTGTTTTTTCTCTTTTATTTTATTGTTTGTAAACTACATTCCTTGTTTATTCACATGTTTTTGCTTGTAAGAAACCCATAAATAGAAAAATAGGGGTGAATTTTATGAAAATAAAGGTGATTTTTAGGGACCTGGAATGGATTGGAAATATTCCCATAATTTCAATGGCGAAAATTGATTTGAGTCTTGGTCTTGGAATGAATTAAACTCATATCTCAAGACATTATTGGATAAATAAAAACTGCATAATTTACCAGCATCAGTTGACAATTACATTGAGCCAATTCAAACTGTAAATCAATGAGATGTTGTTGCCAATCTAGTACTGCTCTTAAATTCATAAATTTAATGTACTATAATGAAGAGTTCATCCAAACAATTACCATGAAAGAATTATTAGAAAAGGCATAGGGAGGTGATCTTACAGTGATGGGAAAGAGACAAAAGCCAAGGCACCAGAGCAGGGCCAATAATATTGCTGTTTCTTCTTTTGATTTTACTGTGATATTTTTGCATTATATCAAGTATTAAGAATATAGTAACAGGGCTCTGCAAATTGGAGGAGAGAGTTATCAATGATAATCTTCTGACTTTAAATCTGGGATTATTTCCCTTTAACACACACTCAGATTTTTTTTTTATTTTTAAATGTACTTTTTATAAAATTTGGTGAGGTGCATGCAAATTTTAATTCTGAAAATGTGGTCCAGAGAAAAGAATGTTTGGGAGTCACTGAACTAGGGTAAGGTAAGGTAGTAAATATATGCATTTGTTTGCACAAATTTTGATTGTAAGTAATACTTAACATTTACAGTACTTCCTCTATTACCTGTACCTTGACTTTCCCACCTCTGGTTATCTGAATGGGAAATGAAGAAAAAAACTGAAGTTCAGTATCTATCTATATTTCTGAGATGAGGTATTATGTACATTATTTACATTATTCAGACTATTGTCCTCATCTTTGTAATAAATTTGATGACAAAGATGAGGACAATAGTCCGAATAATGTAAATAGTGTACATAATACCTCATCTCAGAAATATAGATAGATACTGAAAGGCCGAAATGTTATAATAAATATGGCGACTTAGTTGAGAACAATAGTCCGAATAATGTAATAGTGTACATAATACCTCATCTCAGAAATATAGACAGATACTGAAAGGCCGAAACGTTGTAATAAATATGGCAACAAAGATGAGGACAGTAGTCCGAATAATGTAAATAGTAAAAACTGAAATTATCATTTAATCTCAGACAAGCATTTTGAGAATTTACAAAACTGTACTCAATGTCCAAAATTTCAAATACCAAAGTAAGAATTTTTTAACAAATGTTTCACTTGGATGCACTTTCAACCAGAAGAAACGCTTACAAATACATCTACTGTAATCCAGCTTGGCAAGTTAGTGGCCAAAAAACAAGGTCAACTGGAAACAGACAAAAACTGACATATTTTTTTATAAAAAATTAAACTGGGCAAATCCTTGAACAAAGAATTTGAAAATGTTATTTGATGATTTAAATTTTAAATTTATTCCAGAAAATGACTTTTTTCTCTTTCTTCTCCTTCTTCTTCTTCTTCTTCTTCTTCTTCTTCTTCTTCTTCTTCTTCTTCTTCTTCTATGTGCTGTGTCCCTTCAAGACATTGGTAATCATAGCTCTTCACAATTTCCCGTCCTTTCTTAGTGCTTTGTCTTTTGCTTATCACTCCTAAACCATATTCTGCTATCCATTTACTCAAGCTCCTCTTGAATTAAATCTGTCCTGTGAGTATCAAATTTTCCAAGTCCTCTTTCCTTTCTGTTTGATTTTGGTAGGTATTCACTATTCCAGAATTTTTTAATTATTTGAAGATATTTTTTTAACTTTTGTCCCAAGATGACTAGATTCACCCAATTTAATTTTTTACAAAAAAATAGGAAGTAGATGATCAGTTCTACACATTTCAGTGTTTTGAAACTCTTGTAAACAAGAGCCGCTTGAGATCTTGTTAACATTTTTGTCTCTACCTTTTTTTTATTGTACCCAGAATTCCAGTTCTTTTTTTCTTCTATTTTTGCATTCTCTTTAATACAATCCGTTACCAAGTAATTACTCAAAACCTGGAGTAAGGCAAGGTAGTAAATATCTATATTCTGTTTGCACAAAATCTGATGTAAAGTGCTACTTAACATATACAATGTTTGTATTTTCTTTACATTCATAATACTCTACAGATAAGATGTGCAGTTAAAGTCAGTACAAATGTTTCAATTTCTCAAAAATTCTTTTAGTCATTGTTCCAGTTATTACAAGTATATTACTAATTTTAAGGCACCAAATTTATTGTCTTTTAGGACTTCAAAGTGACTCAAATAAAAAATATAAAAAAAAGCAATCATCTCAACATCTAGCCATGTTGCTCCTCCATTACTCCCACTCATGAACAGTGTTGCGCAATGGGTCAGCCGATTGGTTAGGGTCATGCAACTGAGGAGTAAATCTGTATTAATGAATGGGATATTTACTGTAGCCCATCTTAATTTGCTAAAACAAAACATGTAATTCCAATTGTTTAAGATCAGAAGCCATGAGAACTATGCCTGGGGCCATATCAACATGGTCTAATGGTTGGCAAGCTTGTCTTGCTAGATCAAATACGACTGAACAGTGAGTTTGATCTTTACTGGGTGCCCCAAATATTTGGCCTTGTGCCACATCTATGATACACTTAGAAAATCATTTGGGAATGTTGACATGGTCTAATAGTTAGCAAGCTTGTCTTGCTAAATCAATTATTACTGAATGATGAGTTTGATCCTCACTGGGTGCCTCAAACTTTTGGCCTTGTGTTACATCAATGCTTTGCTTAGAAAATCATTTGGGCAGGTCGACATGGTGTAATGGTTATCAAGCTTTTCTCACAAGATCAATTATGACTGAATAGTGTGTTCAGTCCTCACTGGGTGCACCAAACTTCCAGCCTTGTTCCACATATAAGATACGTTTACAAAATCCCCATAAGAGACATGTTTGATGTTGCATCAAGGCATTCATCATCATCATCATCATCATCATCATCATCATCAACCCTTGCTTTCTGCTTAGTAAAATCCCTTATCAGGTAATTATCCCTTATCAGGTAATTATCCCTTATCAGGTAATTACCTGGGTAAGGCAAGGTAGTAAATATATGCATTCTGTTTGCACAAATTCTGATGTTAAGTGATACTTAACGTATACAGTGTTTGCATTTTCTTTACACTTGAGTAGATTTGCAGTTCCACACAGTCCATCTTTATAATCTCTTGTAAACAATGACTGCCAGGAATTTTTGTTAATCTTGTCTGTACTTGCATATGACTTGGAGACATGATTATTTTTACAACCAATTTCATGAAATTATTTCAATGATTTTAGATTTTTATTATGAATAATGGCCACACCATTTACATCATTGATTCAAAATCATGTTTCAAAGTTACAGGCATAAATTTATTATTAATATCTGAATTAGTTATTCAAGAAATTTCCAGAATTATCTGTCTATATTTCTGAGATGTGGTGTTATGTACACTATTTACATTATTTGGACTATTGTCATAATCTTTGTTGCCATATTTATTATGTTTCAGCCGTTGTACACTCCGGCCTTCTTCAGGTGGTTGGGATGTTGAACTGAACCCTTTATTTTGCTCACTGGGGTAGACTGTCCTAGTTCCATGTGCCATGTTTTAATGGATGTCAGTTATCAGTTATCTCCTGGTAATTCCCCTCTCCAAGTTCTCCACTGCCTTGACCGGGTATTGAACTCACACTCTTTGGGTCCTGTCACTGGATTTAACACCTTTATCCACTGTGCCAGGACACATGGCACAGTGGATAAGGCAGTGGAGAACTAATTCTTCCACACCCAGTAACCCTTTGTGTCTTAGTGGCTTTACTGCCTTGCTTGAAGTGAACTCAATTAAAAAATAAAAACAAAAAAGAGCTCAATGTTGTAAACAGAGCAAGTAATGATTAATTAATCTCTCCCTCTTTCTTCGTCTCTCATAGAGACATATACCCCCCTCCTCCCCTTCCTACTCTATCTAACTATATTAAAACACAACTTCCGCTAATCTTTGTTTTTCAATTCATTTTTTGGTTGAATCTTGGAAGAATTTTTGAATCCACTCATTGTTTTGAAACTGCAAGGTCTGATGAAGTGAAACCAAATTTTATCGGTCTCGCGAAATATAAAATATTACAATGGCTTTCTGAAGTCTCTGATTTGTTAACCAATTATTACTTGGTCTGTTTACTACATTGAACTCTCAGGATTTATATCCTTCCTGGAATTATCTATACAGATTACCAAATAACTTCCTGGAATTATCTATACATATTACCAATTAACTTTATCATATTATATATATATATATATATATATATATATATATATATATCCTTTACCCACAACAGAGAATCCTCCCTGCCTTCCATCAGAATGGCTGACTCCCAACTCCTCGAGAGTGCCTCGTTATGCCTGCTTCATCTCACGCTGTCTATTGACATGAGGTGAGATAAATACATTGAATCAATAGCTTCATCTACCACAAGGAAAGTTGGTTCTTTGTGTTGTGCGAGAAAGTCCATCCTTCAAATCTATGAATCAATCATCCGTCCTTGCATGAAATATTGCTGTCATATATGGTCTGGTGCTCCCACTGTACATCTCAAGGTCTTTGACAAAATCCAGAGATGAATATGCAAGATGATAGGTCCTGATCTGGCATCTATACAATCACTATCCCATAGTGTTCTGGCCTCCCTCTGTCCTTTTTACAAGTATTTTCACGACAACTGTTCTGATGAGCTACTTTTGCTACTTTTGCTGGTTCCTGGACTGCATGAATTTAAGTGAACTACCAGGCTGGCATCTCGGTCCCACTCTTTCCCTGTCAAAACAGTTAAATGTAATCATCTCTTCAACTCAAACAGCTTCTTCTCTCATATTTTGCGTCTGTGGAACTGCCTTCCCCTTACTTGCTTCCTCAATGACTATAATCTTCAAATATTCAAGTGTAAAGTCAATCGACATCTGACACCCTGAGCTTGTTCCATGTCCTTCTCTGTATCCTTTCTTTAAACACGCCTCTTTACTCTTGTTCTCAATTCTCTGTAACCCTTTGCATGCTAGTGGTTCTCCCACTTTGCCTGGGGTGAATTGCTTTAAAAATATACATATATATATATATATATATATATATTTAGGCAGCATATTTTCATTCAAACATGTTTCATTTAATAGTATAGACATATTATGTCTATTTATTTATATATATATATATATATATATATATATATATATATATGTTTTTCATTGGATAATTATCTATTTATTTTTATCATAATCCTTTCCAGTTCATTAATCAGTTTTGTGATGCTAAGATGAATTTCATCTAGGAAGGCACCATAGTTTTTCCTACCCAAAAAATTATGGCACCTTGCTTGATGAATTTCAATGAATTTAATCTATAGTTTAACCCTCACTCTGTTGTAGCTTTCTCTGTACTTAAATTCTTTTTGTACTCTAATCTAATCTGTACTTAAACCTTCTCTGTAATCTCAGCTAGCGTGATATTGATATTTGTTCAGCACTGCACACAAGTAGATTGGATGGAATAAAAAAGAAAAGTTGGGATGGACAACCTGCCTAAACTCGGGTTATTATCGCATATAATCAGATAAAAGGAACAGTGGTGATCGAATTGTGATATTCCAATCTCCCAAGAGCTTAGAAAATCAGCATTCAAAATCTAGGGTTTTTACATGGGCTTAAAATTGACTCCATTGATTGGCAAGAAATATGTAACTATCTTAGTCACAAGGCACACCTCCAAACCAGCAATGATATTACCATGAACAAAACTACCTTTTTTATATTGATAGACATTGTTTTAAAGTTGCTTCCATGTGAAGCTCTTCCTCCATCACAAAAGAATTGAATTATATGTATCAAAATTGAAATATATTTTTGTGACTTGATTATTTATGTTTTTAGCAATGTCTAAATGTAAATTGAGCAAAGAGTATAGCAGATGAATCGTTGGGCCTCTTTGGCTCGGAGAGGGAATCATTCACAGTTTTATTGGACTGTCCTGTGAAGATTGGTTTATTTTTTATCAGAGTGACCTTTTAGCAATGTGCATGTCCACAGCAAACCCCCAGGGCCCAGTTTCTTGTATAAAAGGTCGAAGAATCCAAACTGAATTGAATACGGATTAATCGGTAGGAGCCTCTTCCAGGAACAAATTTGATGTTGTTATATTTATTTTTGGATATCTTTTTTTTTTGCTTTCTTCATCCTTTTCTTTGCCTTCTTCTTAGTTCCTTAGCTTTTTCTTGTTTTTCTTTTTTGCCTTTTTCTTCTTCTCTCTTTCTTTTTGTTTTTCTTCTTTGCTTTCTTCTTTTTCCATTTTTTTCTTTGCCTCCTTTTATTTCTTTGTTGCATTCTTTTTAGCTTCTTTTACTTCTTTGTTTTCTTTTACTTTGCCTTCTTCTTTTTTCATTCTTTTTCTTCTTTCTTTTTTTTCTTATTTCTCTTCCTTTTCTTTTTGACCTTTTTTCATTTCTTTTTCTTACAGATTAATAATTTCTTCTATTTTCTTCTTTGCCTTCTTCTTACTCTTTTCTTTCTTCTTTTTCTTTTTTCCCCATTTCCTTTTTTCTCCTTTTTGACTTATTTGCTTTCTTCTTCTTTTTCTTTGACTTCTTTTTTTCTTCTTTACTTTCTTCTTTTCTTACCTTCATTTTCTTCTTTGCCTCCTTTTTTTACTTCTTTTTTTCATTGCTTTCTTCTTATTTTTCTGTCTTTTTTCTCTTCCTTTTATTATTTACCTTTTTTCCTTTCTTTTTCTTTCTGCTTTATAATTTCTTTTTTTTAAATATTTTTCATGTTTTTATTCCCCTTTTCAATTTTGCTTTTTTTTAATTTATGACTTCTTATTTTATTCAGTTCCTTTATTTTCTTTGTATTTCATTTTCTTCTTTCTTTTTATGTTCATATTTTCATTCCCTTCTTCAGTTTTTCATTCATTCTCATTACCTTGACCTTTATAATCTTCATCTTATTTCCATGTCCCATTTTTTAAGCTATATTTCATCCCCTTCCTTTCTGTTTTATATTTCTTGTAGATTTCCTTTCTTATTATATTTATCTTTTCTTTCTATTTTTTTAATATTATTTTTCTATTTTCTTTAAACTTTTCTATTTCATTAGAACTTTTTCATTTTCTTTCTTCTTTCTCATTTGCACTTTATTTTTCCACTCATTCTTTCTTATTCATGTTTCATTTTTGCTATCCTTTCTTCTTTTTTGTTACACTTCTTTTTATTTTTTCTCTCTCTTCTTCATTTTTCCACTCTTTTTCTCTTTCACTCTACATTTCTCCTCCTATTTTCTCTTCTTTTCTCTTTTCCTTGCATCATTCTCTTTCAATTTTATTTCTCCTCTTCCTTCTCTTTCACACTTCATAGCTCCTCACTTTTCTTTTTTTTCTTTCACTTTCATTTCTCCCCTCTTCTTTCACTCTTTTTCTGTTCTTATTTAATTTTCTTTTACTAATTTTTCATTTCCTTTCTTCTTTCTTTTCCTCTCTTCTTTTCCACTCTCCTTTCGTCTTTCATTTTTATTTCTCCTCATTGTTCTTCACTTTCTCTATCATTTTTCATTTATCTTCTCTTTCTTTTTCATTCTTTTTCGTTCCTCTCATTCATTTTCATTCACTCTTTATTCATCCATTCTTTTTTTTATTCACTCTTCACTTTGCTCTTATTTCTTTTTTTCTCATTCACTTTTCTTTTTCTCCTTCCTTCTTTCTCTACCACTTTTTATTTCCTTTCTCATTCTTTCACTCTTCACTTTTTGTATTTCTTTCACTCTATTTCTTCTCTTTGTTTTCTTTTTTACTCTTCATTTTCTTTCTCCTTTTTTCTTTCTATTTCACTTTCTATTTCTCGTCTCCTTTCTTCTTAAAGTCTTTTTTTTTTCTTTTTATAACACAAAATCAATTTTAACACTTCACTTACATTTTTCCTTTCTATTTTTACTTGAAATCCATCCTCATCCAACACCACAACTCAGCTACCAGGCCTTATTATCTCCCTTTAGTTTTTTCCTGTTTTATCATTTTCCTATATTGTCAGTGCAGTTTTTCTTCCATTTTGTATGATATTTTGCTTATTTGATATTTTGCTTCATTGCTTAAGCATCTTTTCACCATTGTTAACATCCTTTTAGATCAGCACACTTTCTTGTTAGAAAGAAACATGCTGTGAAATCCTATCCAAGAAACATTCAAAATAATTCTATTTATACAATAAACTACCTGACCCATTACTCATACACGGATGTCCCCAATTATACTATCTACAGAACAGTATCCAATAAATAATGCTTTCCTATTTTTATGATGGACAGTATTGTGGGCTATAGATTTTTGTTTTTATAAATATGGTCGAAGAATGTAAGTGTTGTCATTTAAAGAGATGGAAAAGTTTTATTATTATAATGTTTTTTTAGCCATATTCCTTCAGTTCATAGAGAACCATGTCTCTTTAAGACTTACTTTTTTTCTTTAAAATCTATGAGTTGTGAATTACCAAAACAGTTTTAGAGGAAGGTAGCCAAATGATTTCTATTGCCTTTTTCATGTCTTTAAAGTCAGAATTGTTCATTATTTACATTATTCAGACTATTGTCCTCATCTTTGTCACCATATTTATTACAATGTTTCGGCCTTTCAGTATCTGTCTATATTTCTGAGATGAGGTATTATGTACACGATTTACATTATTTGGTTAAGGCAGTGGAGAACTTTCAGAAGGAAATTAACAGGGGATAACTGATAACTGACATCCATTAAACATGGCATGTGGAACTAGAAGAGTCTACTCCAGTGAGTGAAATAAAGGGTTAAGTTCGACATTCCAACCACCTGAAGAAGGCCGGAGCATACAATGGCCGAAATGTAATAAAAATGTCGACAAAGATGAGGACAATCATCAGAATAATGTAAATAATGTACATAATACCTCATCTCAGAAATATAGACAGATAGTGAAAGGCTGAAACATTGTAATAAATATGGCAACAAAGATGAGGACAATAGTTCGAATAATTTAAATAGTGTCATCTCAGAAATATAGACAAATACAGAATTGTTCTTCACCTTGACTGTTTGCCTTTTCAAGACTAGAGTGCTCAGTCTGCTCTACTATTTTACCCATACCTAGAGAAAGAAAAAATGGATTTACGCTTTACCCAAGAGCATTAGAGCAATGTGAATGCATTATTCTGAGTTGAAAGTTGAATTTGCTTTTTTGATTCCACTTTCTGGAGTGATAACCATTATGCCACCAGCATATCTAAGTATATGAACAGAATTTTTTGTTTTTGTTTACAATGATGTCTATCCTGTCCATCAATGTAGGGAGCTACAGAGTAAGTTACAGCTTATGCTGATATGTGTGGAAGATAATGGTTAATTTGAACAATTTAAGACTGTAGTGATGGTGGAAGCAACCACTTGGGAGTTGGTTCCATAAGGGGTAAAGCTTACGTCTCACCAAAAGAATATAAAAGGAATGAGCATGGTATGGCAGATCTTAGATGAGAAGTTTAGGACTATTGGAACTAAGTTCATCTGAACACTCTCCATGGAAATAATGATAGAGCAGCAAGAGGGTTGCAACATCTTGTCTGTGAGAAAGGGATTATGGGTAGAAAATAATTTGTCACTTTGCAGAGAAGCTTTTGAAATTTATTGAGAGTAGAAAATGAGGACTGTGCAGCTCCTGCCCATATGTGGCAACAATACTCAATTTTTGGCCTGATCTGGCTCTTGTAAAGGCAGAGGATAGCAGCAGGAGTCAATTCCTTGCTGGAACTGACCATTTTTCGAGCCTCTTTAGTGATGGATTGTACATATGAATTCTACTTGAGGTCTAGGTTGATATTTAAGTCCAAAGACTTCATGTGAGGGAATATCCATTCATTGCAAATAGTGAAAGTTCTGGGTGCAATCACTGGTACTGGAATGTCAAGAGATTGATTTTTGAGGCATAGAATGTAACCAGCCAGTTTTTTTCACACTGAGCTGTTAGAGCTAGGTCAGAGTTGAGATCAGCTGCCCAGCTCTAGTCATCTAGAGTTTTGGAGCTGCACCCATATACCAGTGTATCATCAGCATAGATATTTACAAAGGACTGGAGTATACTCTTAGGCTGATCATTTATGTAGAGTTGAAGAGGGTTGGATGTGAACCTTGGGGATGCCTGCATTGATAGATTGAGATTTGGCAAATACCAAATGCTTTTTCTATTTCTAAACATAATATTAAGCAAAAACAGGAAAATAAACATTAGAATTCTTCTCAAAGTACACAATGACATTGACAAAACACTGAAAACTAGCAGTTATCTTCCTTACAGAGAAATATTTTTCTTTCAACATGTCATTCAAATGAGCCAGTTGCTCACCGTAGGATTGCACCTTCCTGGTTTGGTTTGGTTTTTGTTTTACAGCATATCAACCTCAATGGGTTATTTAATGCCGACAAAATTTTTATTGCTGGTAATATGTTTTTCTTCAAAAATCTGTTTCTGGGAATATTTTTCCTTGAAGAAATTGAAAACTGGTCAGATTTTTTACAAAGAATGCATGATGGTTTGTATTGCTAGTATTTTTTTTTTAAATATTGTGGATAATAATTTTTCCTTCAAAAATTATTGCTGGTAACAATTTTTTTCATTACAAAGTATTTCTGGTATTAAAACCTATTTTTACACAAGTTTGGGTGTTAACTATTTGCCCATAACTGGGACCCTAACAGGTGCTACCACCCTAGGTCAGGGTAGAGCTGGGAACACCTGCAATTAAGAGATGGTTCCACGCTCCTCAAAACCTCCTGATCAGAGGCCTTGCTGTTGGACGTAGTTTATCGTCTTACCCAGGACGTGGATGTAGTTTATCGTCATACCCAGGATGCTGCAGTTACCTGATTCTGATTAATTAAAGTAGTATTTGATACTTAACCATTCCTTTTTGTCCCTGTTATGCTATCCATTCACCCAAACTCATTAGGTAGTTTATTCATTGTTTCTCTCTGCCACACCTTCCTTCAATATCTCTTTTTCCTCATAATGTTTTCAAAAAATTTAAACTGTCTTTTTCTGATTTTATTTTTCCTTTAAAATCTAATTTAAATGATGGCATACAGATATATTCTGGGATAAATCTGTATGTATATATATATATATATATATATATATATATATATATATATATATGTATATATGTACACATACATATATATATTTTTAAGTGAAATATGCATAGATATATTTATATATATATATATATATGAATGAGGTGTTTATATATATATATATATATATATATATATATATATGTTCATATGAATGAGGTGTATATATATATATATATATACATACATATATATATATATATATATATATATATATATATATATATATATATATATATATATATGTGTGTGTGTGTGTGTGTACATACAGATATATTTTAGAAAATATGCAGATATATTTATATATACATTATATATATATATATATATATATATATGAATGAATGTATATATATATATATAGATAGATAGATATATATATATATATATATATATATCTATATATATATATCTATATATATATATATATATATATATATATATATATATATATATATGGAGGTGTATTCAGTAGTAATAATTATTTCAAGTATATCTGGTTAAATAATATTAATGTTCTGTCTAACAAAATTTAATAAAAAATTTGATAAACACAACTTGTCAATATTATTTAACCACATATATATATATATTAAGCAAACCAAAGTATTGATGGGAATAACAAACACAAATCTTGCCAAAGAAAACATTTGAGACAAAAAAATAAAAGAAAAAGAAAAACTAAGACTTTTGTTGCCTGACGATTGTGTTGGAAGATACTCAGGTTGAAATGAATTTCTTTTGGGTAGTCTCAATGGTTTATATATATATATATATATATACATACAAATAATAAGAAAGAACAATAAGATTTATAATCCTGTGTTCTTAGCAGTTATTTTTATCTTTAAAAACAGTGCTCAATATATATATATATATATATACAGGTATTAATCAGTTCATATAAAACATGTGAGTCCTATTAACACAATATAAAATTATAAATATTAAATATTAAAACTGACTCAGAAATTTTAAATGATATCATAATTCCAACAGTATGATATATATATATATATATATATATATATATATATATATAAAACAAACATTAACTATCATGCAGTGATGAAGGTTGCAAAGCAACTGAAATATATTTCTGACATCCAATTTATATATACTTATATATATATATATATATAATATTTTTATTTCACATTATACAAATATGACTTGTTTATGTTATGCTTATATATATACATATACATATATATATATATATATATATATATATATTATTTTATTTTCCATTTGCAGTTCTGCTTTAGCATCACCTATCACCAAAGTGCCGGACAGCGCCAGTATGATTTACGGGCCGATACCGAGGCTGATTGCATCGCCTGGATTGAGGCTATTCGCCAGGCGAGGTAAGTTGCTATATTCATGCTTTTTCAAAATAATATTACAATGGTAAAGTTAAGAATAAAATTTACCACAAGCTCATCAGCAAAACTGGTCAATATATTTGTCTTGAATCAGGAATCTTTTAATACAAGAAATGAATCTACTTTTGACATTTTAAAGAATGGAAGAATTGGATAACAAGCTTATATCTGTTAAGTATGATATTATTTGAAACAAAAATTAACTGATGCACATAAATCATTTGAGTTTAAATGATATCTGTGTAGCAGTTTGCTGATCCCTTGGGGCTGAGAGTAAGTGTGTCCACCCACCCACCATAGTTTAGATAAGAACTGTCTGAGGGCTTAGTTATTTGATGTTGATCACTGGTTTCAAGTTAGGAAT